TCGCTACTAGGTTGGAGGCCATCGCTATTAGGTTGGAGGCCATCGCTGGAGGCCATCGCTATTATGTTGGAGGCCTGGCCGCCGATGGCAAATTCAAGCCATTTGCGAGAGCAGCAAGTTGCCCACCGTCTGCTTCAACCTGAAAAGAGTTTGCCTTTGATCCGGGCTTTGGGTGTGATCCGGGCTTTGGCCTTCTGGCCTATGTAAACAGAGATATATAGAAGAGCCCAGGCTGTTATGATTGGCCACAATGTAATCCATGACTGGGAGGTCTTGGTTGATCGTTGCTCACTCAAGACTCTAATCAATTATGCAGGCCTGCTGGGCATGGAACTTGGAATGCACCCCGGGCCCGGCATTCCCATCAAAGCTCACCATGAAGCTAAGCACGCGTCGGTCTATACTGTATATCTGTAAATTTTGATGGCGACGTTTAAGGATGATGGCTCTGTACACTAACTTGCCTCGAATTGCTGCGCCTGTGCAGTGGCTTGCGTCGTTTCAGGGTGGCAAACTATAGAGGCCTAGAGGCTTGAGCATTGAAACCCAAAAATAGACAATATCTAATGTTAAATCACTTAAGATTGCTATGTTTGCAAAGTCCTTACAAACTGGTACTTACTACACGTCCCCAACACCAAACAAAACCACACACACCGTGATTTGCGCGTATTACCAGCACAAACGATGCGTCGAAAAAAACCTGCTTCAAGTGACATCGCTTTAATCATAAAACTAATGTCTGCTTTCAGGCTAAGGGGGTCAGTCGATATCTCATGGATTTGCGTTGGGTTCTGTGAGCATCTGAACTGCGGTGGTTGGAATTGAATTTTTTTTGCTTTCACCATGATGTAGCTATTATTATTGTTATTGTGTTGTTACCAGCATGTGGTTGGCCGTTTCTTGTGCCTCGGCGCGCCCAGACCCCTCAACGCGCAAACCCCGAAAACTAAGGGGGGTAACCCAATCCCTCACAGCTCCTCGCTGAGTCGATCTATTTTAGAGTCTTCTTTCTGCTGATTGTCGTTGTGTGTTCAATACACAAGTTATTTATACACAAAAAACTATACACGAACAACATGTTTATTGAACTATGTTTTCTTCTCAAAACTTTGTCCGACAATAATTGAAAAACAAGTGTGAACCAGGCTCAATGAGAACACAGCCGAAGCAAATCCTAACCCGCTGCTGAGATCAGCCGATTGACTTTTCTCTCGGAGCGGTCACACTGCTTCGTTCAGCTGGTTACTCTTCGATTTCGGGATCTTTCACGGGCTCTTCCTCCTCGATCCCTTCATTAGATTCCTCCAAAGCCATTTCAGCCTCAGGTTCTACCAACTCAACCGCAGGCGTCGCCGTCTCTTCGACAGCAGGTGTTGCCTCTTCGGATTCGGCAGGAACCTGGTTGTCAGGAATCTGACTTTCAGCAGTAGGCTCACTCGTTGAGGCGATCAAATTATCACCTCAACACGGCGATCAAAAAGGATTCCAAATTCAACCAAAGAAATATTAGTATCTAGGTTCGATGCATTTGGCTTTGTACTCAGACTTCTCTTCGTCCGTGATGATGGGCTCTTTGTTCTCCAGCTTGGGCACGGCATCCAAGAGCGCAGCCTAAATAATGGCAAGCTGATGGCAACCATTGTGTCCGCTATCACTCAGACTAGTAAAACACATAATAAAAGAACCCTGAGTGCCACGTGCTTCACATATGGTCAATAAATTCTGCCCAAAGATCGAAGTCCAAGTGTTTCACAAAACAGATACAGCCCACGTGGCTAACGGACGAGAACGAACCCGTAAAGGCAAAGGACCGTAATGGTTCTAGGCTCTTACAATTCAATGCTCAAATTGCATGAAACCTCTAAACACTGATTTGACACAGGTTACAAGTTTGGACCCAAACAACTTGCCAAGAAACATTGATTTCCTTGGTCTCCTTCAAACTCTTTCCATCCAACAAATTTTGGCGAGCAAGTACCTCGAAAATTGAGCTGGGCAAGGCACAAGGTTGACATGATAAGAATCTGAGGGTTGCGGCGCAAATCTCAAAGGTCTTGGCCCGTGGGTGGAAAGCAGACCCTACCTAAGTTAGAAGTCGGCCCACATTCGGTTTGAACCTAAACTTGGAAGCTTGCTAAGTGAGAGACCGACAGAATCTGGCGACCTGCAGCCTTCAATCCCCAGGTGTTCAAGTTCTTGTAGATGAAGGGCACGCTCACTTTGTCAAAAAACTCACCCTTGCGGTCTGAGGGGGGGAAGATTCCGTTGAAAGAAATTCCCAGCCAAAACTGGATTAGCCTGCTGCTGAACCTGCTGCAGCCGGCCGCTTCATGATTCGTTTCGGTGTTGGCTCCTCATTACCTGCGGCCTGGAAAAACGATGTGTAGTTTCTTGATTACTCATTGAATGTCAAATTTGCTGAAGCATTCGAGCAAGAAGAGTAATGAACAATTGAAAATGAAGGATAGGAAGCCTCAACATCGGCTCCCTCTTCCGCTTGTTCCCCAATCGCATCTGGGGTTTCCTCATCGCCCACGTTCTTCCTCTTAGCGGTCCCTTTTGCCTTCGCCTTCACCTTTGTTTTGGCTTCCGCCTTTCCCTTACCCTTTGCCTTTGGTTCCATCTTCGGCTTCGGTTTTGCGGCCATCACTTTTGCTTTCGTTTTCGCTTTTGCTTTTGGTTCAGGCACTTCCTTCGGATGTGTTCCCGGCTCTGACTCTTTGGGTTTTCCATTTCTCAGCGCTGACTTCCTCGGTACTTGCTTGGGCTCTGGGGCTGACTTAGCTGTCGCGTGTAAGGCTGCGTTGCTCTCATCCTCCGACTCTGTCAGGGTGGTCACAGGCGGCAAGACTGACATGGTCCGCTTCTGGCAACCGCAAACAACAGTGCAAACCAGACTACTACCTAATATCCCTTTGGGCCACAATCAAAAGCCAACTGGGCTTGCACGGGAAAAGGGCTGGCGCATTCACTTGGAAAACGGAGTCTACCTAGTACTAGTCTAGTTTATAAACCGGATCCACCTGTTCATGAAGTCACAATGTCTTTGTACCGCGAATGCCTTGTCTCGGAACTGCCAGCTCTGCATCACACTGTTACGGGTTTGGATCAGGCACAGCAATGCCCAACAAAATTCCAGAGGCTGGGCTCATATTGGCCGTTGCACTCGACGCTAACTGCCCAGCAAAACCAGTTGCAATGAGTGGGAAGCAACACCACAAATAATAGCTAGGAGCGTTGAACATTGGAAAGGAACCAACATGTGACTCAACATTCGCACCCCTCACAAGTCATGTACATATAAGTCAACCAGGTTTGCCTCCATGCAACCAGCAGTGAAACGCACCGCACGCTGGCAAGAAATTCTCATGAGACCCAAGGCCGCTTGCGAGCCTGAACTCAAGTCAGCTTTGCCCAGGTTCCCGCTTCCAACACGATGGTGGCGGTGAGGTACAGCTTTGGCTTCACTGGGACCATTTTGTTTCCTTCCATCTGGACCTGCTGCTGGAAAATGCAGCGCAAACAACATCCTACAAACAGGTGAGTCAGAAGATGCACTCAAACATCCAAGTGAAATGGCCTCCCACAACACATCGACCAACTTCGATTGCGGAATGCTGTCCAGCTTGCCCAGCCACAAAGCGCCGGCTGTGGAGACTTTGGGGTCGCCCTGAACCGTGTTTGGTCTGAAAATGTTGGCGCGATTGCCCTTCGATGGATCCACGTCATAGCAAAAAGGTACTGGGACTCCTTCAGCATCATTGCCCTCTACAGTTGCAGCTGCTTCCTTCGGGCACAATCCCACAACAAACTAATAGTAGAAGACCGGGACATATTGAATTGGGCATAGTTTGGAGTTCAAACCGAACAAAAACCTAATAACCACAATCTGAGACTCGGCGGGCCGCATCTTTGGGTTCACGTCATGGCTGTGGATTACCACGTCACCAAGGCCTTGTGAAGTCGCCAGCCGGTGGAAATACTTGCAGATGGGCATAATGAACTTATCCACCACCACCAAATCCAAGTCTGATACGAAACGCCACGGGAGTCCACTGCTGTCCCGCTTCGCCGTCACGATCTTTGTCTCGAAACTGCCTGTGTTGAATCCCATCCTCAAAAAGCGAAGGAAGCAAGTTGCAAAGTTCAAGTGAAAGCAACATAAAAAATAACAATATCGTTACCTATCCCGAC